CGTAAAGATAATGATGATGACGGTTCTCCTTGCTGATCACACATTATTATATACCAAGGTGGCCACCAACTATGATCTATATGGAATTAAAGTTGCTACAAATGATCGTATGACGGTCGCAAACGACAACGTTTACTTAGTTTGGTACACTATTCAGATTCCAACCAATAGTTCAAAACCGTGTTACAACAATTATAATGAGACAAAATGTGATTTTGTCTATAATACTGTCGTTCCGGTGGTCAATAGCACACTATTTGCCTATAATTGTATTGATCTTCAAGGAAACAATGTGATCGGCTTTTTTGTTAGCAATACTACGTGCAATTTTCGGTTAATCGATGAACAAATCATATCGAACTATTCAACACAAGATAATTTTGTCATTACCATCGATGGAAATGGTACAGGTGTGTATGGATTTTCCGACGATTTCGTATTTTTTTATGAATTACAACCACCATTTCAATTGACTGTATGGCCAAATACTTTCAATATTTCACCTCGAGCAATTGACATCGGCTCAAATGTGGAATATGGTGTTTTAGTCGGCTATTGCCAATCGACACCATCAACTGCAATTGAATGTGGTTCTATATTAGCCTTGAATAGATCCCTGTCGTTTCCAGGTCGTGTGAGTGATATTTCGATCAAAAGTAACTTGAATTTTAACTGGTCCGATCCGCGTGTTGCTTATCTCGTTACACAAAGTCGCGTTTATTCGACAGATACCCTTATGTCAGTGAGTATCGCCTGGCGTACTCGACAGATATTGATCGGAATTCAAGCCCTCAATATGGTTCTACTGTACGCATTTGACAATGTATCTCAACCGATAAGTACTCGTCAAAATGGAATCGGATTGAGAGGGTTTGGAAAGAGTGTTGCATGGTTGGATGATCAAGGTCAAAAGGCAGTCATTCTTGCCAATAGTTATATGTATTCGACGGAACAATGGATATCGTCATTCGTGCATATCTATGATATCAAATCCGATGGTTTCACAGATGATACACAACCAGTTCTTATTTATCCTAATAGTGAACAAATCCTGTTTTCAGAAATGAATATCGTATTACTTCGACTCGTTTGTTCAAAGTCCGGCAATTTGGCTGTTTTTGATAATTTGGGAAATGCAGCTACTTTGCTTTCGGCACCCGCAGGTATGTATCCGTACACACGAGTACCATTCTTGACGTCATCATCTGTTCCTTGCATTCCTGGTACTCATCGAAATTATTCTGGGCTCGAATTGTGTATACCATGTCCCAATGGTACTTTCTCAAGCGATTGTGTACAATGTGCAAGAAATAATTCATTCTGTCCATATGGAAGTATTCAAGACCTATCTTATTCAACGTTTGAATCGATCGATCAAGATCAAGATTATCCTGAAGCGCCCGAAACTACCGTATTTGATGATTTACTCATGAAGAACATGTTCACTTTGAATACACAATCCGCTCATTGTATACGCGTATCACCAATGACATGGGTTCTTCTAGTTCTCACATTGGGAATCATAGTAGCTATTGTGGTAAAAATTTTCGAGGTCCATTCTCCGAACACACATAGGGTACACAGCCGATTCAAGCAAGTATTCCAAAAAGTGGATCTTATCGGCGAAGGAGAGGTGAGTGTTTGTTTTTTTGGGTTGCAAATGATTGACCTAGTGTCATAATTTGGACTCCTTATTTCGAGAATCTGTTGCAAAGCCGAATTTGATGATAAAATATTTATCAACTTTGCTTTTATTCCTATTTGATGAGAGTTACTTAACAAAAAGAATGATTGAGTTTCATCTTTAATCGTAAAACAAGAGCTCTTGGCAAATCTATCATGATCCATAGTAGGATCAAAAGTGAAGCATATGAAAATGTCTGTTTCGATCTATGATGTCGGAGATGAAAGCGAGTGTTTCTCGGTATATGCTTCAACACTACTAATCATATCTCGCAAAATCTATATCTAATTCTAATTTGTTTTCTTTCTGTATAGTTTTGGATCGGTGGCCTAGTCTCCATTGGTATCATTGTTATAGTTGTTTCGGCCTATGCATTTTCTAATACTTTTTTACATCAATATCCAATAGAGAGTATCATTGGTGAACAATCATTTGCATGCGATGTCACCTTGCGCAACGCAAAATTCAGCACAACAATGCAAAAGATGCCAGGCTCTAGCCGTTCAATCAGACAAAATCAAGCTATGTTTGACTTACTCAACTTGCAAGCGTTTGATCTCAAGATTGATCTTATTCAAACAGCATTCACCTGTCAAGACTCGCTTGTTGTTTACCGTCTCGTCGACTACATACTTCTTTCAATACCAATTTCACGATGTGAAACAAGCTATAATGGAAGTATTCTATCGTTGACAATTCCACTTACATCTCATGATATTAGCATTCAACTCACATTGCCAGGATTACGAACAGTCGGGGGTATTCGTGTCGGACTATTTGGACCATTGGCAGCCAGTAAAAACGGCAGGTAAGACCGAGCGAGATGAAGTCAATGAATGAGTGACCACTGATAGGAGATAGTTTTGAAGTATGTCACGATATAATACATGTGAAGGTTCTGTGACAAGACCTTAGCAGTATTCAATTTATTCAAAATATAAAAATGAGAATGATGTGATTGTTGTTTCAATTCGACAGGAGATTAGCTCGATACTACCCTTTTTGAGAATTTGAACAGTTTCGTAAGAATATTCTGATTATTTTGATAAGATACACACTTCTGGAACTCAACGCCGCGTCAACATTCATTCCTTCATCACTCAACCAAGTTCTCGCGCCGTCAACTCTCTTCAATCTTCAACTAACTCCAATTGTCAATCAAACCGCTCCATTGTCTACCGATGGGATGCCAACATTCAGCGCGATATGGTCATCATCGTTCGATGTTAAAACGGATGAACTATTTGCTAGTGAAACTCGATATACATTCTTTCAACGGACGCAAACAAATGTGACTGTCACTGTTGAAAAGACTGTCTTTTATGTAAGCAATGTACAAGAGCCGATTGCTCGACAAACAGAAATTGTATTTCATACCCTTCTATTTACAATTGTTGTCTTGGAAGTTTTCGGCTTATTATTTCTCATCATAAAATTACTGATCATTCCTCTGTCTCGAATCATTATTTCTCGTGTGCGACAATATTTTCTACCGAAAAAACAAAATAACGCCGGTATAGTCAACAATTTGCCTATGGTCCTTGTTAATGAAACTGATAATTCAATGTCGGACAAGCAGTCTAACATTGTTGAAAAGCCTCATCCGAACCAGTCACCAATCCATACCATAGTGCAGTTCGATTGTGACTAGTAACTGCCCATTAGAGAGACAAAATTCTTTCAGCTTTGATGTACTTATTCAACGCTTTTTGTCTTGTCCTCGTGTTGTTACTTTTCAATGTTGTTCCATGAAAAAGTAACAAAATACTTCACTTTCTTTTTCGATTTCCAACGGGTGTGAGTGTTGTATTCTCATTCAGCTGTTCTTTTTCGTTATAGCAAGAGAGATCAAAAAGTAAATGCTGACTTCGATCGTGATGCCAGCTCAGAGAGGCATTCATATTCACTTGAAATGATTTATTTTCAGGGGTGTGTGTGTAGGTGTGGGGTGTGAGTGTTGGTGGTGTGTGTGAGTGTGGGTGTGGGTGGTGGGTGCGAGTGTGAGTGTGGGTATGGGTGTGAGTGTGGGTGTGGGTATGGGTATGAGTGTGGGTGTGGGTGTGGGTATGGGTGAAGGTAATACTCGCATTCACACCAACACTTATAACCACGCCAATACTCACACCCACACCCACACCCACACCCACACCCCACACCCACACACCCCACACCCACACAACCCCACCCCCCCCCCCCCCCCACCCACACCACACCCCACACCCACACCCACCCACACCCACCCACACCCCACACCCGCCCTAAATTTCTTTTCATAGATCAAAACATAAAATATGAGCTGTGTGATAAGTTGTTCATTTGATAGGACCATCGGTTTTTAAAAGGTTAGTCATAATTATTGCACTCAAATGAGTGAAATCGAAAGTTGAGTAAGACACAAACAATGAGTTACATTTGGATTTTTCTTGCAACTAGAAAACCACGAAATCCATCAATGACTACAAACGTTTGTATGCTAAGAACTCGTTTTTTGAAAGCATCCATTTTTAGCCGTACCTCGAGCTCATGAAGATGACTTGCATCAACTCTTGCTTTTATTATTTAGAAGTCACATCATTATCCTTTCCAAGAATATGTATTTTTGACTCTATACTATTTATTTTTCACATGATATCATGCAAAATTTCTTGCTCAACACAGACTGTTTTATATAAGCCGTAGTGATGCTTATTTCTTTCTTCAAAACGTCATTCTCTTTAGTTCAAAGAAATTATGCCGATGGATGAATATCTTTTCCACCAATCCATACTTCTAACATAACCACACTCTTTTGTTTCATCTTTTGATATTTTATTGTTCATTTAAAACTTTACGGTGAAAAATACTTCTCGCGTTAGCATTAGCTATTTCTTTGATTTTATCTTTTCGTGAATGTTTTAGGAATTCTTATAATTCATCTTAATGTATACATTTGGTATTTTAAATTGTAATTATGAGATAGGTTTGCAAAAGATGCATCATACATTCCTTTCGCAAAACTTCCTATCAAACAAATATGTTAAATCAATACAAATACATCATCTTACATAAAATCAAAGCATTTCACAAGTCTACTATGTGAGCAGTCATCCTATTCCGCGATGTTGCACATTGCGGAATCAGTTCCGCCCCAGGAATCAATTCCAACGATTCCGGAGTCACATCCACGCTGCACGACATTCAATTCCGGAATCCATTCTAACAGTTTCTAGATATTCCGGAATCGATTCCAGAAAATACCAGCAATTCCTCACAGCGCCGTCTAATTCCGGAATCGAATGAAACCGGAATCGGTAGGAATTACTAGGAACTCCGGAATTGCTATACCTAGTATTATTCTATCATCTCTTATGAATCTAATGATGATCCAATTCCGGAACGGAATTCCGGAATTGGGCGGAATTCCTGGGAATTCCGTCCAATTCCGTGCGATTCCGTCTCAACTCAATTCCCGGAATTCCGTGCCGGAATTACTTACTTATGCGAGAGGATAATCTTCTGTCACATCACCATGCGTGAGGGTGAGGGGAAAAGTGATTCCGCTACGGAATTCCGGGAATTGAGTCGAGACGCAATTACACGGAATCAGAGGGAATTGCACGGAATTCCTAGGAATTCCGTCCGATTCCGGAATTCCGGGAATTGAGTGGAGATTGTATCCCCACCAACTCCGGAATTGGAATCAATTCCAGGAATTCCGGAATCGGACGAAAATCCTAGGAATTCCTGGGAATTCCGTCCAATTCCATGCGATTCCGTCTCGACTCAATTCCCGGAATTCCGCGCCGGAATTACTTACTTATGCGAGAGGATAATCTTCTGTCACAACACCATGCGTGAGGGTGAGGGCGAACAGTGATTCCGCTACGGAATTCCGGGAGTTGAGTCGAGGCGGAATTACACGGAATCGGACGGAATTGCCCGGAATTCCAGGGAATTCCGTCAGATTCCGGGAATTGAGTGGAGGTTGTATCCCCACCAACCCCGGAATTGGAATCAATTCCAGGAATTCCGGAATCGGACGAAATTCCTAGGAATTCCGTCCAATTCCGTGCGATTCCGTCTCGACTGAATTCCCGGAATTCCGTTTATCAGTTGCATGCATACACTGGACGTGAGCAATGGTGTTAATACAACGAATAAATGATTCCGGAATCGAACGGAATTACATGGAATTGCATGGAATTCCGTCTAATTCCGTGGAATTCCTTCTTGAAGCGATTCCCGGAATTCCGTTTATCAGTTGCATGCATACACTAGAAGTGAGCGATGGTATTAATGCAACGAATAAATGATTCCGGAATCGAACGGAATTACATGAAATTGCATGGAATTCCGTCTAATTCCGTCCGATACCTGCTTTATGCGATTCCCGGAATTCCGGTTGGGAATTGCATGCATACAGTCGAAGTGAGCTTTGGTGTTAATGCAAGGAATAAATGATTCCGGAATCGAACGGAGTTACATGGAATTGCATGCAATTCCGTCGAGTTCCTCCTTCAAGCTATTCCCGGAATTCCGTTTGGGAATTGCATGGATACACTAGAAGTGAACTATGGTATTAATGCAACGTATATATGATTCCGGAATATAACGGAATTACATGGAATTTGAAGCAATTCGGGCTAATTCGCTGCGATTCCTGCTTGATGGAATTCCCGGAGTTTCGGAATTAGATGGTATTATTGGAAATGATTCCGGAATTGTTGGAAAATGGTTGATTTGATTCCGGAATTGGATTGAGGTCTGTGTGAGCGGAATTGCGGAATTGGATGGTATCGATTCCGGGGCGGAACTGATTCCAGCAATGTGCAACATCGCGGAATAGGATGTATTCTCTACTATGTAGGAACAAAACAGTTTAACGAATCAAATCAAATGAAATCTTGCATAGATTTATAAGTACAGCTATGCCTCGATGTTGACTGCTGCTTTTGTTAAATCAAGAAATTCTATAAGAAACCTGTTAATTTTTTCTAAAAAAGAAAAGAAATTTTAACAGAAGTTCAAAAAAATAACTGTGTATGCTACATAAACTTATTCATCAATTTCGGTTGCATTTGTCGAAAAACAAACAAATAGTAGAATATCAAACTCGAGAGTAAGATAAGAGTTGCAATAAGAAATCCAATATCGGATTCAACGATTCAATGCTCATGTACAGACGATAAAAACAGGATATTTTTCGAGATTTACAGTTTTAATAACACGTTCTATTGCAGTCTGAATTGTTAAAGAATATCAATAGAAATAGTCGAGACCTTGAGAATACTACATGCTCTTGAGTAATGTCGGAAAATCTTTCATATTTTTATAGCGTCAAAAACTTACGATTCTGCTCTTCCATCTCTGATTTGAAGATTCACCATCAGAATTAACCTTAATCACCCATTTTTACCTGAAACCTCCTCTTGAAGCTAAAAGCAGGATTCCCTTCGAATTCTAGAATTCTGGTAGATTTTCTTTAGTATCTGGAATCACAAAATTCGCTCTTCCTTCAAGAATTTTTGATCATCAGGGTCAATCAGAATGTGCTGTGAGTAATTTTGATTCTACTGAATCATAGAAAAATCCGTGTAAGTACACTTGTTTATCAATATTTCGCTGAATCACACATTTTATCGATAACTCTGATTATTGGAAAAAAGTTGAAAAGATTACTTATTCTCTCTCTCTGAGTTTGCTGCCATGAGAATAACAGCATCTGACAAAAGTGTATGGATTATTTCAGAGGACGACGTATGAGAGATATTATTTTGCAGAGTAATGTTGGTAAAAATAAAGCAGACGAAATCGGTTATCTATTTTGAATTTACGCAGTATGCTTTTTATTGTCTCTCTCTATCTCTCTTTTCAGTTCCGAAAAGAGAAACATGTCGAAGTAGCATGCAAGCTCAAAATATAAATGTTAGTCATTTTGATGTATGCCTCTATGTGCTTTCTATATCCTGAGGCCTATTGTCGAAACATATGTAAAGAAGGTAATTTTACCGTATCCTTTTTGTTCTGTCAGTAACTATCTGGCTGATATCCAACATGAAAGTTATAATACACTGGCCGCCACTTCTCTCTATTGAATTCTGTCCTTCACAGTACTTGAAAATTCACACTTCATAAAAGATAATTTACACAGAAGTCTGTCTGGATAGAGAGCTATTTTTTCCACTACACTATTGATTACTGTCATTTGAAGCGCCTTCAATGTTTTATACGGTCGCAGGACTTTTTCGTAGTAAGTTTGTGGTCTGAGTTCGATGAAGTCCATTCAAAACAGAGAAGTTATCAGACTTACATGTAAAAAATAAAGAAACTTTACAGGCTTTTCATGTAATAATATCAGGAAAGGTAATTCTATGAAAACATTACTACCAATTAATTGTAGTTCAAAATAAGACCTATTTCAAAAGATGTTACATATATGGTCATACCGGCAAACTTCAAAGAAATAATAAACAATCGCGAATTCAACATGAAATCCACCAAATAAAGAGATATTTCTTAAAGTTTTTCTGATACTGTCGAAAACCAATTAATTCTTGGCGACATTGGGTAAGAATATAAGAAAACTAATACTGCCGAAAAAATTGGTTTTAAAATTCAAAACTGTTTTTTGAAGATACATTTTCCATTGTCGAAACGTTTCCGAAATCAGTGACGTTTTTTAAGGTTCGATCAGATCCAAAACCATTATCATAAAAAATCAAAAATTTATGTTTGATCAAAATCTTTTGCTTTCCTGTTAAACATCGACTTCAAAGTTGTTTAGAATTGGGCTTCTTTATCGGAAATTTTAAGAAACACTTATAGCATTTGTTGCACAGGTTATTTGAAATGTCAGCTATGTAAAGCTGATACGGTCTAGTGCTTTGTATGTTTGTTTTCGAATTCGAACACTTGGAAGAAAAATAAAAAATAACACGAGGAAGTAAATGAAAAAAAAGTATTGTTATAGCGTAAGCAATGACAGACAGCATGAGAAAACATGTAATAAAAAGTAACATAGGACTGCAAAGAATATAAATCATTTTGACAGTGTAATAAATAAGGAGTAATATTGGAAAGTAAGAAAGAAAAAGTACTGTGAGAGTATAAGCAAGGTTTTTCTTTTTCTTATACATTTTTCAGCTCACCTGTTTTACATGGGTAGTTTAACGGTTTTCAACATTCGGAAATGTCTCCTCAGAAATTGGCAAAGACTGTCGGAATGCTTTACTATTTGATAGCTTTCAAGGATAACTTGTTTTCAGAGTATCACGTCTATATTCGTTTTTTTCTATGGGTCTAAATCTTACCAGTAAGTTCCTATTTATCTGGAAATTTCCCTAAAGATCTCATGTTTGAAAGTGATTGGTTAATCAAGCTTACTACGAAACATTTCGTAGTACTTCTTGAGAGAATAATCAACTTCGAAACCTTTTAAGAGGTTTCGCAGAGTGACAAAATCGAAAACTTTTGAAGGATTCCCGAATAGGTGTTTCTAAATGCTGGAAACTCTTAAGCTACCCATGTAAAATATACCTGTTCGACTGTGTGATAGAACTTATTAACCCTTACTTTCCCATACTACGTTTTATGACTTGTTCTCTCGTATCATTTTTTATTACTTACACTGTCAAATAGTGTTTGCCAATACTACTATCATAATATTTTTTTATCAATTATTTTCTCATGTCACCATTTATCGCTTATGCTGTGATACTACTTTTTATTATTTTTTTTCATCGTACTACTTTTTGCTCACACTGTCATAGTAATTTTTAGTTCAGAATCTCACTTATTTCGTTTTCCAAAGGTAAATTCCACTGGTCACGGTTTTTAACACATCTTTGAATTAGAAGACAGACACACCAATTATTACGCTACACCTATATGCAAAACTTAAAAGTGCATTTTTTTATCTGGGTTGCTTAAAAAGGAATTTGTTTTAGAGTCGAAGATTCCGATTCTAAAGACTGTTTTTTGAAAATCGTCGAGCATTATGTTTCGAAAACTGTGATCAAACTTAGTTCTTTGATCTTTTGTAACAATTATTCAGGAAATAATTGCAATCATGAAAATATTCTATAGTTTTGCAAACTAAAAATATGTCTCCAGAAACTTCTGCGTATTCTAAATCGATTTCTTCAGCAATATTGACCTTCTTATATCCTTTTATGATTTCGACAGTATCAGAAATGTTTCTAACAGCACTCTTTGATGAAACGTAATTGAGAACTAATGATTTTGATCACAACAATTACTTCAGCTATACGATATTTAATGAACGTTTAAGAAAAAACATACAGAAACGAATTATAGTTGAGATTTTTTGGTCCCAATTACATCTACATGATAATATGTTTGAAACACTTTGTAAGAAGTATTGATCTCTTAGAACTCTCTTTATCAGAAAAATCTCTTATTTTTATTATATAAAGATACATCAATTGACGTGATTGTAACAAGAGAGATCTGAATAGATGGAAGACTTTTTAATCTCATACATAAGTCACAATCCGAGCGATACGAGTTCAGAAACAATACTAAAAGATGAATATTGAAAAACTGTTTTCTCCACAAAGATTAAAAATGGAGAAAAAAAAATACTAATTACTATGAAAGAACGGCTTTTAAATATTTATCTTTTTATAATGTTTCCCAACTCGTATCATTCGCATTACAGCTGACATGTGACATTAAAAATCTCTTCCATTTATTCCAAACTCTCTTATCACATTTGCAAGAATCACTGCATCAACAAAAAGTTTGCAAGACTGGTTCAAATGTCAACAATTTTGTCTTCTGTTGTAGATGCAAAAAAACACTGAAATAGGAAAGCAATCTTTTTATTGTTTTAGTAAATCTCACAGCACTCCTATCACCATTAGAAACATTTAATTGTGAAAGAGTATCCAAAGAAAAGTTGATATTTTCAAATAATCTTATTATTATTCCTTTATAATTAATATTATATAAAGTACGTAAAAATATATTCGCATTTATTCGAAACTCTTCCATTCGTTCTCATCATAATGTTATCACCATTCTCATCAATTAATGACAATAATGATTCAAATATCATTGATTCATTGTATCAATTGTGTAAAGATAATGAAATCGAAAAAGTTCGAAGTATTTTACCATTTATTGGCAATATAAATATTATAAATAGAATTCAAACTTCAACTGGCTCAACATGTTTACATGTCGCATGTTATTATGGTCATCGAGAAATGGTAGAAATGTTATTGGAATATGGAGCTGTACATTCCATAAGAAATATACGATATAATTTAACACCTTATGAAGAAGCTCAAACAGATGATATAAAACAATTAATTTTAGAACATCAAAAATTATTTTCAAATAATGATTATGATTATATTGAATGGTCAGTAGTAGGCGATGATCTTCTTGGAAAACGTCGTGAATTTCGTGAAGCTATTGATGTATATAAAACTTATGATAATCATCATTTAATGTCAAAATTATTAGCTGAAGTTATTCATTACTATTTAAATGAATATTTAGTAAATCAAATTAATGATACTAAAAATCCCGAAGATCAAATTACTCGTAAACAAATTGAAACTATTGAATCATACTTTAAAGAAGCTATAGAAAAACAAGATTATTTAACATATTTTATCAAAGCTTATACATTAACAAATTTTTTTTATAAAGTACTAAATAGAAATTTAGCTTTATATATATTAGAATATTTTGATGAAACAAAAACTTTTTCATCAAATTATCGTCTTGTAAATTGTCTTGTTCATATTGTAACACTTTTAATTTATAATCCAAATTTACCTCAATATCAATATCAAGGTATATGTTATCGTGGTATGAGAATAACACAAAATGATTTAGATCAATATCAATTAAATCAACATATATTAAATCGTACATTTTTATCAACATCTACTGATCATCAAGTAGCGGCGATGTTTGCTGGTGAATGTCAACAATCACAAATGAGATATACACCTAACGATCATTGTGCATTACAATATTCATGTTTATGTCAATATTTAATAAAACAAAATTCAACAGCTATGGATATACAAAGTTTATCAACAAGACCAGATGAAAAAGAAATTTTAATTATTCCATTTTCCGTTTTTAAAGTAATGAAAATTAAACGAAATTATCTTGATGATTCAACAGCATCGATTTCCATTGAAATTGAATTAGAAGAATGTGAAGATGTAATTGATGATAAAAAAGTATCAGAAAGTATGCAAACGATACTATTTTTTTTCTTGCATGTTTTAAAGAAAAGTTCTTTGTTCAATTCTGTTTTTCAAATTTTCAGGTGAACCAACATCGAGATCATCATCATTGTCATCATCTGATAATGATATCAAAGAAATCGAACATTACGTAAAATTTAAACAGCGAAAATATCTTTTATATGGAATTGTTGGAATTTTGACATTAGCTGCTCTTTTGGCGTTAACTTTTATATTCATTTTTACTTTTGTTGGTAAAAAAAGTTCCACGAAAAATACTATAAACAAGACAACGACGGCATCAGAAACGAATGAGATTTTCGATTACTACTTACCACCAGGTAAAAGCAATACAATAAAATGAGCTACAAGATGAAACCTCTTCTGAACTTCTTTGCTTTAGAAATGTCACTTTCTAGCATTCGGATTTCTGAAATTTCAACAAGTTGAACAGTAGAGAATCCACTATCATAGATTTTCTAGAAACTAGAAATACTCAGGAAATGCAATTATAGAAGATTACAAATAGCCTACTAGTGTTTCTAATTTATTACTAGTTTTCAGGGACTAGTAAACAGCTGCAAACTCGGAGAAAAGAGGCTTCCATTTACTTATCAATGTCACATATGTATTTGGGAGCACCCAACCTAATATATTTCAAATGGTTAGATGAAAATTCCATGCGTGAAGTTTTTCATATAAATGTGAACAAAAGTTTTTTTTTTGTCCTTGAGAAAGACAATCTGAAATTCTTGTTCAAAATGTGCAGTACAATTTCTGCAAGATTAAAATGTGAAAAAATTATGTAGCTACTCTTGGTAGTAGCAGAGACATTGCTTTATTCTATCTATGTTACAGTACATTTCTAAACCATCCTATTACTTATCCCTCCAGAATTGGACTATATATAAGAAAAATTCTTATACAAACTTTTTGTAGGTTGTCCCAATATATTAAATCAATCTAACTGGAATGCGCGTCCATATTTATTTCGCGAGAATCTAACAACATTCCCAGTAACACATATTGTTATAAGACAATTGGGTGATTCGGAACCAATTCTAAATCAACAAGATTGTATTAGAAATATAAAAGATCTTCAAGATTTTCAAATGGATAAACTAGGTTGGGCTGATATTGGTTTTAATTTTCTCATATGTAATTATAATGATGATCAACAACAAATTTATAGAGGTAGAGGATGGATAAACCGGGGTGCACATTGTCGTGGTTATAATTACAACTCTTTGGGTAAGAATGAATTTTGCTTTTAATTTTCTACCACAACACCTTATAGGTTATTGCCATTTAGTCATAGTCTTGTTTGTCTTCTTAAAATTATCAGAAAAGAAATGTGAATATTATTGAGTTGTTAAGAACTTAAGTAAGAAACCTCAAGAGAACTTGAGAAATCCTAATGCATCAATGATATGTAGGAAAAAAAGATAGGATAATACTGTTTCTAATTGTTCTATAATTGATGCGCCTCAAGGATGCAATTTATCTGAAAAGGACTGTTTATAGTTACCAACATGGAAGTATCACGGTTTTATTGATAGAAGTACTTTTTCGTTGTCATCACAAAGACATTCATGCTTTTATCTTATATATGAAGTCTTGCTAGAAATTCTATGTTGATTTTTCTATGAAATTGTAGACTAGGCAGGAAACTTTAGTTACGTCAATGTTAACTCCCAATATGGCGAATTTCTGGATAGGCAACATCGACTGAAGAACCTAGATTTTGTCAAACATTCACTTGTGAAAAATTCCTCTTGGGTGACTAGATAGCTTTACGGAATTGAAATTCTTAATGAAGATAGATTCTTATTAATGTTAACTGTAGTAAAACTTTCATGCCTCTTTCATTTTAACAAATCAATCATTTTAGTTGCAAGTTTGTTCTGTTGCCAGTCAAACTGACTAATGCATGCAATTACAAATTTCAGTTTGATCGATCAAACCGTTCTTGTTATATAATGTAAAATACCTCCCTCTCCCTCCCCCATCCAGTCTTTAGCAATGCGGCTTTACATTCAGGACTTTTCATTATAAAAGTGATAAGAAGTGGAAGCTTCAATGTCCCTGAAGCAAGTTCTGGTGAAAATATTCCAGATTGAAACTTTTATAATACTTCTAAAATTGAGCATAATCTCCAAATATTCATTGAGCGCACTTCCGAGATATTGTAATTGTTATATTGACTCTCAAGTTAGTATTTTAAGGTTTCAAATCATTTTTTTTTCTGTTTTCTAAAAGGTATTGGTAATATCGGCAATTATGCTACTAGAAAATCGTTAAGCACGTTTAAATCATTAATTAAATGTGGTATTACAAAGAATGCTATTGTACAAAATTTTATATTGGTTGGACATGACTCATCAACAGATATTTACGAATATTATTTGCAATACTTCAGCAATGATTCCGAATTTCAATACAACAATCAAGCTGACAGCATTCAGTATTTTTGTCAAGAATCTTAGAGTATTCGTCTCAGATGACTACTGATCCGACTGTGATCGCAAAAAACAGCGTAAATAATCGTAGAAAATTTAATCAAGCATGTTCGATAACACTTATTAATCATATCTATATATAAATATGTTATGGTAACTCAAAAACATATTAACAGAGAATATTTCAGATAATTCTGTGCAATTTTGGCATTGTATTCTATCGTTTTAACGAAATATTTCATAAATTGATTGTGCTGTTCATTTGGTCAATATCTAGATATCGTTATTAACAATGGACTCATGAATAGGCTTGATTCATGAAAAGTGTTTCACATTTTCAAAACAGACGTGTATCGTACTTATCAAAATCTTCAAAGAATCTTTTGTTCTACTGAGGCATGCATATGTCAAAAACTGCATGGACATCTCTGATACAAAAAAAAAGAAGTAGCTTTGAAATGAAAAACTAAGAAAGATTTTTTTGCAAATAGAATACGGATTATAAATAATGTTCATCTATGCTTACATTATCCTATACATTATTCGAATATTAAACATGTCCATGCATTTACTGCTCCCGAAATTGTTGTTTCCTCATTCGATAAAATTTTCGCAACTGATTTAATAATAATTTTATATAATAAAAATTCTGGAATGAATAATTCTAACTAGACTATTATCAGTAACAGATTATACAAAATAACGTGCAATAATAGGATTAATAATAATGTTGAACAAATATATTAATTATCATAAATAAATAAACTATTTTAACCAACTATAAGTGTTCAGATGAATATATCTTCAAAATCGGGATGTAGTTGTAGTTGTTTTTTAATTCTCTTTAGTCACACTCTATATCGTGATCGTGTCAGATTCTTTGAATACTGAATTTTGATATTAGTTTTTACTCGATGGACACCAGTTATATTTGACTGTTATATTTAAAGTAACGGAACTGTTCATGGGTCATTTGAATATTTCATTGATCGATATCAAACAACGCCTCTACTCTGAATGAAGCACTTATCATGTTGATAGAAAGAAAAGATGACGTATTGATAATATGACCAGCTTCAAAATATTTTTCGCTTATTAGAATGTTTTTGATGAACTTCAAACAGCTTTAATTAATAAAACCTTTGAAGCTGCTTTTATTTCTCTACAAGGTTCGTACGGTATTTAAAATATTTGGCTGAAAAATGAAGATTAACCATTGAATCGTTAATGATAGTGTGATAATGCATCTTTTATGTTGCGTCTGCTCTACATCAAATGTAATATATTTTGTAAGAAATGTTATTATAATATAAATACTGTATTGTATGAGAGTACGATGCGTGTGGGTGTGGGTGGGTGTGGGTGTGGGGTGTGTGGTGTGGGGTGTGGGTGTGGGGTGTGGCTGTGGGCGTGGAGTGTGGGGTGTGGGTGGGTGAGGGCGTGGGTGGAGGTGGGGGTGGGGTGTGCGGTGGGTGTGGGTGGCTGGAGTGTGGATGTGGGTGTGGGTGGCGGGGGTGTGGATGTGGGTGTTAGTCTTTTCTTGATCAACGCCCACGCTCACACCCATACCCACACCCCACACCCACCCACACCCACCAACCCGACCCACACCCACCCACACCCCACACCCCACGCCCACACCCACCCACACCCACCACCCACACCCACCCACACACCCACACCCACACCCTGTTTACAACTTTATTTTAGATTGTTTTACAGTTTCGAATAAACGAATTTCACTGACATATATTAACACAAACTTTTATCAATGACAAATTTTTGCACACGCTGGCCACCGAAATCCACTACATAAAGATTTCCATCAAGGTCGAATGATAAATCAGTGGGATAAGAAAGTTGCTCAGATGCAGTTAGGCCATGACCATTAACAATAACACTGCCTAATTTAGCGTCACGTACCCAGCGCATTATTCTGTGATTACTGTGATCAGCTACATAGACAGTGCCCAATGCATCGACAATAACACCGGTTGGATATGATAATTGGTTGTCACCATCACCATACCATCCACCAGCAACAATCGACATATCTGTTGTTCCTTCATCTAATTTTATTACTCGATGATGATCCTGTTCAACTACATAGACAGATCGATTCTGATCAACAAACAGGAAACGAGGTTGCTTCAGTTCAGAAGCGATCAATTGTCCAACTGTCTCACCAGCACACCATCTTTTCACTTCATCTCTGTCATCGTCAGATGCATAAAGTGATTCTCGATCATCTCGTGCTAAGCCATATACAGAAATATTTCCAATAATTGTTTGTCCACTTTGAGCACCGCGAGACCATTTCTGAACACGCTGATTTCCTGTATCACTAATGTACATGGTTCCATCTTTATCAACGACAATATCAGTTGGCTTATTCAATTGATCGTTTTGGTCTCCCGCTCCTTTTCCACCTGCAACTAGCTCACCACTTGAAGCGCCACGATTCCATTTAGTCACACGATGATTAAAATTATCTGCGACATAAATAGTTTGATTGTCATCAACAAAGAGTCCAGTGGGACCTAATAATTGATCAAGTGCAGATCCTTCACCATTGCCTCCAGCAACCGTGACACCAGTTTGAGCCCATTGAGCATTCACACAAATCCCATCGCCAGGTCTCGTCGGAGCTAAATGAATGTCAATTTGCCTAAGAAAACAGATTGGATATCCTAGTGAAATACTGTTCTAGAAAAATTGATAAAATTTCGAGTAAAGATTGCTGTATGATTTTGATGAGAATATATAAAGGCAAAGTATTATTACAACTTAATTATCATTGTCAAATAAATAAGAACTATTCGTTGAATTAAGACGCAAACATGTCATGCTATCAGCTCAATTCGAATCTCTCTCATCGTATCCAAAGCTGGAATCGTCTCACGGATGATAGGTAAGGTTCATAAATTATTGAGAGAAAATTCTTGAAAAAAACTTCTGAAAGATTCTTTCAATTGAAACTAACATGGAATTGTCATAGTCATAGTCGTCATCGCAAATCAACAAAATAGAATTCTGTCAATGATTTTAAGTAAAAACTTAATTAAATAGAATGATGTTATTTCCACTGAACAACATATTCTATTAATTAGAAAAAAACCGAAATAAATCGGCGATAAGAAAATCTGCGGAATCGTTGGTAAATCGTCAATGTTTTTTTTTATTTGCGACTGAAGTTTAGACATAAGCCGCTTTCGATTTGGCACTCTCACTTCAAAAAACATGTCTTTGCTTCCATGAAATTTTCTTGTTTTAGAAAGACTGAAACACTCTTTTGCAGTTGATGGACATAGTCATTGTAAATGTTTATCGGCATTCGTCAAGAGAAAACATTCTTATTGAAAAATTTTTCAGTGGGTACATGCTACTGCAATATTAAATTAGATATACAACTCAATCTTTATAAGGGATTGTTCGGAAAGAGCATCACTAGAGTAAAGGAAGTCACGAAAAAGTGGCACTTTTTAGGTACCACCACGACACATCAAAAAGATTTTTGGCAAAGGCAATGACACGGTGGGAAAGGAAAGAGATCAAACTATGCCAAAAATCGGGTGACACTCTTTCTAAACGACTTCTAACTAGTTTCATTTCATAGAGAATTGATGACTTGACATTGAATTTTCTTTACTACAATAGTTATTCAATTGAAATACAGCTGATGGTGCAGTTCCGTCGAGCAATATTAGAAGATTTCCAATAAAAAGGACAGTGCCGTTTTAGAGAAAGTTGTCTGAATTGAATGAAACTTGGGCTACTAGTAGAAGTAAATGAGATACATTTACCATAAAATTTTGAGCTCGATATATCCTATTGAAGAGAAGTGATAGTGAAAATACGTCTGGATGAAATTAATGTAAAAATAGGAAAAAATTTGCTTAGTATATTTCTCAAAAAGATCACCCCGTCTTTAGATTTTATAGCACGAAAATTATTCCGTGCTATTCAGTTGGATAGAACGTCGAATGCTCTACAATTCTGTTCTTCTTTAAATATTTTCTGATATTCGTTGAAGTATTTTAGAAATGCAAAAAAAGAGAAAATCTTTATCTTTGTTATCAAAAAGTTTCACTTTTTGCAAAAACAGTAAATTTTGGTAATGCGATCGTATGTCCACAACGAAACGTTGCTGTAAGGCCAAACTTTCGCCAAAACTGTGTCTTAATCTGGGCTATTATTTCTACAAATTTAAAGAGAAACGATTTTGTCCGAATGGAGATACGCCTATGCCAAGATCAAAAGGAGTACTGATAATTCTTGGGTTTTTAAAAAAGAGAAATGTTTTCTTATTTGGGATTAACATTTGCTAAATTGAGACTTGATTTGAGGTCTTGATCATCATCAATAGACAGAACAATGTATATAACAACTCTAACAATGTATTCGAACTTGAAATTCTTATAAAATACTTTATTCTAAATTTCTCTTAAGAATGATTATATTTTCAATTGTCATTTCAGCCGATTAGCACCTGTTTATAGAGCAAATATTGTATGCTCAAAATTACTTTTGTACAATCTAGTATCTTTTGATTTTAGATGAGTAAATTATATTTTTGTTCTGTGTATTCTATAAAATTGCTGAAATACAAAACGAACTGTATGTTCATAAGTGGTGATGTGAAATGACGTAATAAGAAAAACTCGAATTTTAATTGTTGTGATGTAGTACTATTTTTCGTTATATATGTCAGGTACATTTGCAGATAGGTTAGAACGAATAAAAATAGTATGCAATAAAAGTAATGTTAATAAGTTGGGATTGTTTTATAGTCATTGTAATGGAATGTTTCAGAGTGACAATTTTTGAAACTCTGCACATTTGACTCACTTGTACCATAACTAGTGCCTAGAAGATTCGTAGAAAAAGATGAATGATAACCGCAATTGGTTTGACTACTACATCAGGATTCCACAGCCAATATTATAGACAAATGTTTTCTTCTTTTACTATCTTTTCTTCTTTTTTCGGTTATGTCACTGTGTAAGAACAACACTGTTTCTCTTCAAGAAAATCGAAGTGGATTCCACATTTCCTTCGTTCTTTCTTTTGCTTTCACACTTTTTCTCTTCAGGTGACTCAGTTAATTCTAATGTGTTCTATACATATATATATATATATAGTTATCCGTGTCCACCTAAAGAACAACAATTATCTAAAATAGTATTATGAGATAAAGTGCTCTAACATGCCTAATTTTTGTTGATGTCACTGTAGACGGTGGAAGAAAATAAACACTCGTTTAATTAATACCGGATCCTTGAATTTGAAAGAAACTCATTCTGCCCGAAATATTGACAGAGATTTATTTTTATGTTATACATATGAGGTGGTCTATTTGACACAAGGAAGAAAAGCGAAAATTCCGTATTTCAACGTAATTCACTGTACTTCAAGGCTATATCAAAGTTATCCCTGCGAAAAGTTTAGCTATTTCAAATCTATTACTTATCTGTATCATGGCATATTAGGCAGAGTACAATAACATGCAAGTCTATCTGTCAACAAAGTCCAAATACTTCATCGTACTTCTAGATTTTAGTATCAGTGAAGTACGCTAAAGTAAGAAATTTTCGCTTTTTTCTCTTAATTCGGCGAGTTTATAGAAATGAAGATTGATTCGTCACAATCTTCTAACTGAGATGATGATCAATAAAATATTGTCTTTGATGAATATTTTACATAATCTTATTATCGAATATGCTGTTGTATGCTGAAGGTATTGTTGACTTCTCAAGCAATCGAACCGAGTTCTAATGATTGAATCGATCTTCTTCTTGATAACGATCTCTATGTTCCTTCTCGTACATCTATATGCATCAAACACATTGTTCGAGATCGTCTGTCTTCTTATGCTTTCGTTAACCGTCGTCTGTTAGACCCATTGATGTCCCATATAACATTGAGAAAGGATCTGATCAATGATTTGGTTCTCAATTATGTTTTGTGAGTAAAATCAATGCAACAACACTTCTACCTATAGTTCGAATTCATAGAGTTTCTCTGTTAGTGACTTAAGATCTAATTATTCAAAAACATTTGAATTTGTCTAGAAACCTATCAGACATCGTTTGTCGATATTCTTGAATGTTTTTCTATATTTTGACTGCTTTGTCTCGACATCTTGTCATATTTATAAATATGAAAATAGTGGTTCTCGTTCACCTTGCTGTTTCTAAAAGCATCCATTCTATTCTGTTGATACCTATCGGTCCTGATTATATAGCTTTTAATAACTCACACCTTTTGTTAGTTTGATCCTTATTTAAGTACCTGAAATTCTGTTGTCAAAAAAAAAAGATATTTAATTAGAATCTTTCGTATGTAAAATGTTTTCTATATCTTTATCATGACGATTCTCAGTTGCAAATGACCTGTGCAATTTATTTCAAACGTTTTGTTTATATTAGACTTAGAAATCACAGTTTCTTTGGTCGAATTTCCTTTTTATTTTTTCATCTGAAAACAAGAGAAGCTAAAGCTGTCAGATTTTGCGCACATATTGCCTGCATAGTGTGGTATCTATCATTTGCATCTAACCAGCATCTTGTTATTGCTGATTATCGTAATTACTTGCACGCACGATTACTACCATTTTTGTAATAACACACAGTACAAAAACAGAATCTAGATCGATAATATTATAGTATTGACAATGTCGAGTATTGTATTTTTCTATCATCTAATAAATATATATTTTGTGACATATCACATGCATTTGCAATATCATATCAAAAGTTTCAACGTAATTCTGCACAGTCTAGTATTCATTACAATGTCAAATGCTTTATTGTGTATGGCACACAAAATTGTGTTTAAAATAGTATAGACAATACAATATTTGGTGTATAATCACATTCTAATCGACTGGGACGACAATTGAAAATCTAGTCATTTTTTGAGAAGAATACAAAAGGTGCCGTCTTTTGCTGATCTATTTATCAAACTTTACTTTTTGTACTAAAAGTATTCTGAATACAACAATTTTTGCAGGCATCGTAGAAAAGTTCGAAAGATCTCATTTTGTAGAGAATTCAATTCTCTAAAAACTGATGTGGATCGACAATTTTAAATTTATTTCTTCACCGGAAAAAATTTAAATTCGGATATCGATGAGTCATCACAAGAGGGAAACTTTTCAAAATTCACTCTCAAACACAGGCTTTTTTGTATGAAAATTACATAGTTTTGTTCAGTTTTTGACGCTCTTTCTGAAGCACCAGTTGTTGTTGAGATTAGTTGCATTCTGCACTTTGAAATGTCATTAGTTCCTAGGATTAACAAACACGAAATTTTGAAAATTATGGATGGATAGTGGATTAAAATTTTTTTTTAAATATAGACCATCAAATTCTTCGTCGAATGGAATATGTTTCAACTGTTGTCAGTAAAACCGCTTGGTCAGAAAATGCAAAATATTGAAAACGTCCTAAAATTATTTCCACTGGAGAAAAATTGTTTTCGCTATAAATCAACTAAAACAGATCTGCTCTTGGCATTTTTTTAGGTAACATAAGACTTAACAAGATCTTTCTAACATTGAAAGAACCAGGTCTTTACCTATAAAGACAGTTGAATTATAGCAAAAACACAAAAATCCTAAATTTATCTCCACCACTTTATATACGATTCTAGTATTAAATTAATTAATGATCATGCAGTGATTTACTCTTGTTTATCATCTGATAACAAGATCGAAATGTACATGGAATGGCAACTTGTCTTGCTTAGACAGCCACAAGGTTTGGAAGGGCTCAGAATTAGAGTGAAATACAATTTCTGAAAGAATTTTGAAAATTAGGCTTAAGCGTTCTCAAATTAATATAGCTGTTATAGCTGTTCACTCATCAGTGAATTCAACAAATACATAGATAGCTGATGAAAATGATAAATTCTATGTAGATTTACCAGATAGCATAAATAGAATTTCTATTGAAGATATGTTAATTATCATGAGAGACTTTAATGCTAGAGTAGGACAAAGACAACCGTATAAAAATTTATGTAACTACATTGGATCGTTTACAGTCGATAAGGAGAATCAGAATGGAACAAGGTCAATTGATTTATGTGCAATTAAACGATTTTATTGTTTCGAACATGTTTTTCAAGCATAAATTTATACATCAGACTTGCTCGATACGTCCTGAAACAGATATTTTGCACATACTCCACTATACACTGATCAACAAAAAATTTAGATCGAGTATTGAAGATATAAAAATGCCTAGAAGTGCAACTGGAACCATAGAAACTGACCATCATTTAATTCGTGTTAAAATCGAATTACATTTGAAAAGTCAAAAGCAACTAGTAAAACAGAAGACAGTTACGCATAACATTACTAACTTTAAAGATAATACAGCTTTAGAATCGTTTCAATGTGATGTCGATGGAGCAATATCTGATGCATTTTATGACACAATTAGTATTAATGAAAAATATTTCTTGTTTGTGGAACATTTGAAAGTAAACGCAGACGAGCATTTTAAATTAGACAAGAATACTCATCGGAAAAGCAAAGAATGATTCACGGACGAAATATTACAAATTGTAGATCAGAACTCATTAGCTTTCCTAAATTGGCAGAATCACCGTGGCACTAATGTAGAGACAGAAACCAGAAACAAGTACAGACGTCTTAGAAAATTAGCTAAGAAGAAAATTAATGCACATCAAATTAAATACTGGGATGAAATTTGCGAGGAAGTAGAAAATTCTATTAAACTGAGTGATCTAGTAGCTGTTTTCTTTATCATAAGACGTTTGCGTGGTAAAAGTAAACGAGCTGAAAATATGCTAATTCAAAATAAGAACAGTAAACTACTTTTGATCTCATCAGATTGACTGCAATGATGGCGTGAATACCTTGATGATCTACTTAATGTTCCATCAACAGTCGATCAAACACTTATTGATGAAATTCAAATTGATACATCATCTAAAGGAGAAGAATGTAGGAGTCTGATGTTATGACTCACGACCAGGACTAAACAGTGTGATGGAATACTAACAGAACGGAGAAAACAGACACCTCTTCGTGGGGCTTAAGCCACGTACCTTCTGCTTATCGAGCAAATGCACTATCATTATAGCAGAAGGCATATCTCCTCTCCATTTTACGGACGTAGTCAAGAAAAGAGACAAAAAGTTGAACTATCAATAGAAGAAATAAGGAGAGCATTATCTCAAATGAAATTAAGGAAAGCATCAGGAAATGATGAAGTGACAGCTGACATTCTGAAAGCTGGAGGAGAACCAGTTGTTTGCTGATTCTTTGAAGTATTTGTTGACATACGGAAGAGTAAACTGATGGTGCAAGATTGGAACTCAGCTACTCTTATTAGATTATAAAAGAAAGGAGAAAAACAAATGTGTGACAATTATAGAGGAATTTCATTGTTGAATGCAATAAGTAAAATATTTTCTCGTATTATTTTGAAACATATTCAAAATATGATCGATCATCAACACTTAGAAGCGTAGTCTGATTTTTGAGCACAGAAATTAATTGTTGACCAAATATACATATTGAAAATCATAATGGAAAAATGTAGGGAATTCAACAAATCATTATTCATGTGTTTCATTGATATTACAAAGGCTTATGACTCTGTCAATCGTGATCTTCCGTGAAGAGTTTATCGCAAGTATGGTAATTCAGAGAAACTTGTTAATCTTTTGAAAATGCTCTATAAGAAGTCAAAAACAAAAATGAGAATTGAAGATGAATTATCGGATAGTTTCTCAATTGAAGCTATAGTGCAACAAAGTGAAATACTATCAACAATTTTGTTTAACATTTTATTTGATTTTATTATCAGAAAAGTTATAGAATAGGTTGGTATTGCTGGAGTCAAATTTTCTAATGCTAGTAATGATTCTTTTGATGCCAAACGTGAAAACTATGAAAATTTTAGTATCTTGACACTACTTTATGCTGATGATCTTGTGGTTATGTTTGAGACAGCACCTGATTTAGCAACATTCATTCGGACATTTGAACAAGTGACACAAGAATTTGGATTGACAATGAGTATTAAAAAACATGTATTATGACTTTGCAACAGTTTGAGGAAGATCAAAATCGAAAGGTTTTAAAACAGAACGAAGTGATCTTTCCTGATATTGACATTACAATTCGAAATCAAAAGATAGAAACTGTTGAGTCCTTTACGTATTTAGATTATATCGTCACCAGAGATCAGAAGCCAGACATCGAAATTAATACAAGATTAACCAAAGTTACCACTGCATTTAATACGTTAAGACATGTGATGTGAACCCGAAAATTCGTCTCAATCAAATCAAGACTACGAATTTTTCGTGCTTGTGCTCTTCCGATTTTACTTTATGGAAGTGAAATGTGGTCAATTACCAGTCAACATGAACTTAGAGTTGCTACTTTTTATATGAAATGTCTACGTACAATTATCAGTATAAATCTAAGTGATAGAATGTCAGATGAAAAACTATTAAAAATCATTGGTCAATCATCAATTGAGAATATCCTACGTGAGAATAGATTGAGGTAGTTCGGACATACAAATAGAATGATGAACAGAGATGATGAGTTATCAGTGGTGAAAAAGATCATATTTTCATACTTTTCTGAAGAGAAAAGACCTCGAAACATCGACATAAGGAAGAGATGGGAAGATAAAATCCGAATTGATATACAAACTCTGAATGTTACCAACTGGAGAAGGCAAGATCTCGATAGAGGTCAGTGACATGATGTAATTAATCGGAACATTCAGATCACATCTATTCATCCAAATATAAAAAAATATTATTTTTGACTATAAACAACGACCCGCTCAACGAACAGGGAGAAATTTAGTAGCAGCTAATGGAATAGTCTAGAAAAAAGTAACAGGAGTATTAAAGAAGAACACCGATG